ACTACTACTACTACTACTATACTTCTACTACTACTACTACTACTATTACTACTACTACTACTACTACTACTACTACTACTACTACTACTACTACTAGTATTACTACTACTACTACTACTACTACTACTACTACTACTACTACTACTGCTACTACTACTACTACTACTACAACAACTACTACTACTACTACTACTACTACTATACTACTATTACTATTACTACTACGACTACTACTACTACTACTACTACTACTACTACTACTACTACTACTACTACTACTACTACGACGACCACTGCTACCACTACAACTACTACCGGAGCTACGACTACTACTACTACTACTACTACCACTACTACTACTACTACTACTACTACTACTACTACGAGAACGACGACGACGACTACTACCACCACTACTACTAGTCGTCATAGTCGTTGTAGTCGTAGTAGTAGTAATAATAATAACAACAGTAGTAGCAGCAGGAGAAATAGTAGCAGTACTCGTAGCAGTAGTAGAAGCATTAGTCATAGTAGTCGTTGTCGTCGTAGTCGTGCTCGTAGTCGTAGTTTTACTATTCGTAGTATTAGTTGTTGCAACAGTAGTAGTAATAATAGTGATAATAATACTAGTATTAGTTGTTGTAAAAAACAATCGTACTACTACTACTCGTAATAATAATGGTAGGTGAAAAAAAGCCGAGGACGAGGAGGATCGATCCCGAAACGGCTCATTCGACCGCAGCGGAGCTTTTGAAGCACGCCGTACCCTGACTCACTCTCTCTACGCGGTCTCTTGCGCGGACGCTGGGCTGAGGCTTCGCGGCGCCAATCCAATGAGCACGCCAGGAAAAATCAGCACAATACGCTCTCAGGCGCCCACGATGTCGAAAGCCAACCTCTCCTAACCCGACTGTTCTTGCTTCAACTCCTTCTCCCCCTCCTCTTCCTCCTCATTACCTTCTTGCTCCTTCTCCTCCTTATCACTCCCAACTCTTCGATTCCTCAACCTCCTCCTGCTAAATTTTCTCCTCCTCCTGCTGCTGCTCCTTTCCCCCGTCATCTTCATCCTGGACCTCCTGCCGCTCCTCCTCCTCCTCCTCGTCCTACTCGTCCAACGCCTCTTGTTCTTTCTCCTCCCTTCTTTCCCGGATCCCCTTCATCCCTCCTGCTTCTGCTAATCCTTCTATATTTTGCCGCCCCCCTCACCCCCCCTCTATCCAAGCTCCTCCTGGGCAACATGCTGGCCGATGCTTGAAAGCAGATCTGGGCGCAAACTGAGGAAGAGCAGGACCCTGAGGACGGACGGGTGGTGCGGTGTGGGTGGATGGGGTGTGCGGGGGCGAGGAGAAAGGAACGAAGCAAGAGAAGAATAAGAAACACGACTTCAACGCTCCCTGTTCACATCGTGCCATATTCTGCTCCATCCACGAGGCCGTGGAACTGGCAGGAGGAAGTGGTGCAGGGCAGGCGTAGGGGGGCCACGAGCTCACCAGCCCGCCGTGCAGAGCCATGCGCGGCCGTCCGTCGCCAGTTTGCCGAGAGCGAAAACCTGGAAGACGTGGCCAACACGTGATTTACACCTGACCTCCTTCCCATCATCCTGGTTGCTTCTGCAACCCTTACGCGCCTTGCCTGGGACAAATCCGCCGACCCAGTCGGCGTGCGTGAGAGGCCCTTCGACGCCAGGCCAGCCCAGCCCAAGCTGAAGTGCGCAAGCCTCCTTCGAATCGTCGTCGTGGTAAGGGAGATCGAACAAACAAGGGGGATGGATCGAGCAATGTCGCAATTACATCGAAGGGAAGCCCCTTCGCTTTGTCCTGTCCCCGCAGGGGGGGGGGGTCCCGGGGGGGGCGGCCGGGGGGTGATCCTGAAAGAAGGGTCCCCGGGGGGTCCCCGGGAATCGTGACCCCCACCCCGGGCGGTCCCCCCTGTGCACAAGAAAAAACGAGGGGGTGGTCTCCCTGTCGGCAGGGGACCTGAGGATCCAGCCTGGGTCCCAGCCCAAGCCAGGCCGGCTCCGGCCCCCGGCCCCAGCCCCAGCCCCAGCCCCGGCCCTGGGCTGGGCCACGGCCCAAAACCTGGCCCCAAATCTGGCCCCAGCCTCAGCCCCGTGGCTGGCTCCGGCCCTAGCCCCACCCCCGGCGTGCCCCCGAGGAGACAGACGGCTCAGCTCCTCCTCCTCCTCCTCCTCCTCCTCCTCTCCTCCTCCTCCTCCTCCTCCTCCTCCACCTCCACCTCCACTCCACCTCCTCCTCCTCCTCCTCCTCTCCACCTCCGCCTCCACCTCCTCTCCTCCTACCTCCTCCTACCCTCCTCTCCTCCTCCTCCTCCTCCTCCTCTCGCTCCTCCTCCTCCTCCTCCTCCTCCCCCCTCCTTTTCAACCATCTTCCTCTTTCTCCTCCTCCTTCTCCTCCTCCTCTTCCTCATCCTCCTCCTCCTGATCCTCCTCCTCCTCCTCGTGATCCTACTCGTTGTCCTCGTCGTTCTCCTCGTCGGTCCTCCTCGTTATCCTCCTCGTTATCCTTCTCGTTACCCTTCTCGTTATCCTCGTCGTTTTTCTCCTCGTTATCCTCCTCGTTACCCTCCTCTTTATCCTCCTCCCCCTCCCCCTCCCCTCCCCTTCCTCCTCCTCATCCTCCTCCTTCTCCTCCTCCTCCTGCTCCTGTATACTTCTCCTCCTCCACCTCCCTCCTCCTCCTCCTCTCTCCTCCTTCATCTCCTCCTCCACCTCGCTCCTTCCGCCTCCTGCTTCCACCTCCTCCTCCTCCTCACTCCACCTCCTCCTTCCTCCACTCTCCTCCTCCTCCTCCTCCCTCTGCCTCCTTCTCCTCATCCCTTACTCCTCCTCCTCCTCCTCCTCCCGCCTCCTCTTCTCCTCCTCCCCAGCTCATCATCATCATCAACATCATCATCATCAATCATCAACATCCATCCATCATCATCCTCATCATCACACACCACGAGCAAGCAGCATCAGCAGCATCATCATCATCACCACCACCACTACCAACACCACCACCATTCACATCATCATCACACAGCATCACACCATCACATCATCCGCATCAGCATCATCATCAATCATCACACATCATCAGCATCTCATCATCACATCATCATCCGAATCATCCACCACAACATCCATCTCCTCCTCACTCCTCCTCCTCCTCCTCCACCTCCTCCACCTCTCCTCCTCTCCTCCTCCTCTCTCCACCACCTCCTCCTCCTCCTCCTCCTCCTCCTCCTCCTCCCTCCTCCTCCCTCCTCCTCCTCCTCTCCTCCTCCTCCCTCCTCCTCCTCCTCCTCCTCCTCCTCCTCCTCCTCCTCCTCCTCCTCCTCCCTCCACCGCCCGCACAATGTCCTGAGCCTGTGGCAGGGTCATCAGCTCGTCGTTGTCGCAGTCGTCGTGGTCGTCGTCCTTCTGGGTCGGCGGCACCGGCCCTAAAGCCCTCACGATATCTTGTACACGTCTGATCGCAACATCGTCGAGCCGCAGAGATAGCGGACAAAGCGCCAGCCCAATCCAGGAAAAATTTGGGTCACCCAGAACCAATCTGCATCCCATCGCCATAGATAATCCAGAGTGCTCAAGTATTCGGTACCCTCATGCAGCAAGGTTGGATAGAACTGAGGCCAAAGTCCGTAATTCTGGACCTGAGATCCGTCCGGAACTGTCGCCACAAATCTTCCTGTTATGACCATACCACCTTTTTCACTGAATGCGACGCCATCGACGTAGTCATTATCAGCTACCTTGCTTTCCTTCGCCAGGCCATTTATGAAGTCGTCTGGGCTTCCGTAGAATTTCTTTTGGATTCTCACTAATGGCTTTGAAAGCTGCACTCTCATACGCAATCGTAGAAGATAACCAAATGACCCCAGAGAGTTCGGTATTGCTTTGAACAATTCAGCATGCTCGTTGTCTGGTGACACCGTGACAACGTTCCCAGAGGCCAACAAGATGTCTGCTTCAATTAAGCCATCATGGAAGAAACCATGCTTGAACGATGATGATTCAATGCCGATACCAACTATTGCTCCACCAACGGTGATTGTACGCAATTCAGGTACTACCAGTGGTGCAACGCCATGGGAAAGAGTTCCGTCTACAAACGTTTCAAACGTTGCTGAAGCTTCGATGTCACACCAAAGTTCCTGAACATTCACTTCTAAAACGTGATTGAACTTGCTCAAGTCTAGACGAGCTGAACTCTGTTCGCGTTGCGAAATCTGCTGCGGCCGAAATGTATTCGAAGCAGTTGCTTTGAACATGCGGAGAGGCCCAGGCTTCCTGGCCTCCTTTTCCGTCTGGGCTACTCGACTCTTAAACTCCTCCCGGCTACAAGTTCCAGCTGGCTTTGTGGCTGGACCACGAATTGCTTGCCGCAAACTGCAGACCAGACCTGTCGACAGGAAGAAGCCCAACCCACTCAGGAAGGACCTCCGTGCACAACCAATAACGACAGATGAACCAAGAGATGGCCAGATCCATCCTTCAATCACAAGTGGCAGGATTGGCCAAACCATTATGTGGACAGAAGGCTCGCTGACGAAAACTGATTATGCCTCTTCTTGAATCAGATTGGCTGCGGAGGGGCCTCTTGGACCGTTTTGGGGCCCTCCAAGGGGCCTCCTTGGCCGTCTTGTGGCGGAATTGGGGTCCTCTGGGGCCATTCTGGAGCGTCGGAAGCCTAAACGCGAGAACGCGAAAAGCATTGGAATAACAGAAAGGAAATCACTAATACTTGCCTCTTTGGACCCTCTTGGGGGTCCTCTTCGAACACTCTTGGGGATTTGGGGGGGCCTCCTTGGGCCGTCTTGGGTTAAGCTTGGGCGTTTGGGAGCACTCTCAGGCTGACATGGGGCCTCTTGGACACTGCCCCAGGCCGCATCTGGAAATCGAACCAAGAGAGCATCGTAAAAAAATCCCGGATGATTGCGGACTGGACGCACCCAGGCCATGGGGGCTATTCTATGTATACTCACATACACACAAACATGCATACATCAATATAGATATAAAAATGTATACATACATACATGCATGCATGCATGCATACCTACCTACCTACCTACCTACCTACCTACATGCATACATACATACATACATACATACATGCATCCATACATACATACATACACACATACATACATACATACATACATACATACATGCATACATACATATACACACACATACATACATACATACATACATACATACATACCTACCTACCTACCTACATACATACATACATACATACATACAGACAGACAGACAGACAGACAGACAGACAGACAGACAGACAGACAGGCAGGCAGACAGACAGACAGACAGACAGACAGACAGACAGACAGACATCCTTACTTGCTTACTTACATACATACATACATACATCCATACATACATACATAGATACATATATGCATATATATATATATATGTGTATATATATATGTGTATATGTATACATATATATATATATATTCCCCTTCCTATATTTTTACAAGCCCGGGCCGGGATCTGGGGCGTTGGGACCCTCCGGACGGGCCTCGAAGCGGACCCCCGGGCCTCGCAGGGCGTTTTGCCAAGCCTTCCCAGCACACCTAGGGTGATCAGGGGGGTCATCGGAGACGTCCCAGAGACACCCAAGACAGCACAAGAGCGCTCCAAAGTGACCGACGTGACATCAAGATGGCCCAAGAGGCCTCCAGGACGGCCCCAAAGAGGCCTCCAAGAGCACTCCCAAGAAGACCCCAAGAGGCGAAAATCAATGATTTTCTGTTGGTTTTTGGTGAATTTGGCAGTTTTCCTCTTTTCGGCTTCCCGACGCTTCAAGACGGCGGTCTTCTGGGCGTCCGAAGCCGCCTGGGAGGCTCCAAAATCGCCCCACAACCATCCGAAAGGGCTTCCAGGTAGTCCAAGAGAGCCCCAAAACGGCACAACACGGGTCCAAGATGGCCCTCAGAGAGCCCCATGGCAGCCCAAGATGGCCCCAAGACACCTTCCGAAGCATTCCAAATCGTGACACGGTCGTTCAGGGAGACCGCGGTTGGAGGCAAGGTGGCCCGAGGAAGCCCCCAGAGGCCCCCAGAATACGCCCAGGAGGCCTCCAGAAGGCCTTAAGAAAGCCTGAAACAACTATTGTGAGGCCCCCAGAGGCTCTCCAAGGAGGAAGGAGCCTCCGCAAAAAAGAGCTGAGGACAATCGGGAGAATGCGCAGGGTATGGCGAAAATGAAGAAAAGAAGTATGGAGGAAGGATAGCGAATAGCATGACTATAACGACGATGCCGGAAAAGGCAACACGGAGTTATCGCTAAATTGTCGGCTTGACCTTCCTGCTATTCCGCCTCAATGCCACACTTCAAGAAACTAGGTGCATGGCGCGAAGCGCCACTGTAGTCTTGTCTATATATATATATGTGTATATATGTGTATGTGTGTGCGTATGTGTGTGTGCGTATGTATGTGTATATGTATACGTATGCATGTACGCCTATGATTAGGACTGTACGTATGCATGCATGCATGTGTAGTATGTATGTTTGTCGCACGCGGGTGTAGACACCAATAAATTACATAAACATGCGTGTATATGCTTAAGTATAGTATCGATATGTAAACAGTTCCAAACAAGTGCATAAAACTATAGACATCGACATGTGTGTAGTGTTATATACGTGGTGTTATCTGGATGGTGCAATTTATATGGTGTCATCTACGTGGTGCAATATAGATGCTGCAATATATTTCATATATATACACATACCTACAACCATACATACATACATACGTACGTACGTACATACATACATGCATGCATACATGCATGCATACATACATACCTACATACATACATGCATGCATGCATGCATGCATACATCTATGTGGTGGAATCTCGATGTGGTGCAGCACGTTGATGCAATATGTGTGGTGTACGTTATGTGGTGCATTAGTGGTGCAAGCTACGCGGTGCAATTGACTACCCTGCACTACGATTCGCGCTTCTCTCCGGTATCATTTCTTTTTACCTAACAGCGAAGACTGATAGGTTCTAGTAGGCTCAAAAGAGAGCATCATGACTCCTCAGGGGGGTCGGGGCGGGACCCGGGGCGGCTGCCGTCGAAGCCCAAATCGCCTGGGACATCCTCGCAAAATCGCTCTTGGCGCTGCTAGAACTCCATTCCCGGCGTACATTTTGAATGCCCGGAGCCAACTGTAGGCCACTTCGTGGTCTTCGAGTTCCCAGAACTCCACTCCTGGCGTACATTTTGGATGCCCGGAGCCAACTGTAGGCCACTTCGTGGTCTTCGAGTTCCCAGAACTTCATTCCCGGGCCACATTTTGGATGCCCGGAGCCAACTGTAGGCCACTTCGTGGTCTTCGAGTTTCCAGAACTCCACTCCCAGGCCACATTTTGGGTGCCCGGAGCCAACTGTAGGCCACTTCGTGGTCTTCGAGTTCCCAGAACTCCACTCCCGGGCCACATTTTGGATGCCCGGAGCCAACTATAGGCCACTTCGTCTTCTTCGAGCTCCCAGAACTCCATTCCTGGGTATGATTTTGAATGCCCGGAGCCAACTGTAGGCCACTTCGTGGTCTTCGAGTTCCCAGAATTCCATTCCTGAGGCAGGCTGAGGCTGAGGCTGAAGCAGGCTGAGGCTGAGGCAGGCTGAGGCTGAGGCTCAGGCTGATGCAGGCTGAGGCTGAGGCAGGCTGAGGCTGAGGCCGAGGCTGAAGGCAGACTGAGGCCGAGGCTGAAGCAGGCTGAGGCTGAGGCTGAGGCAGGCTGAGGCTGAGGCTGAGGCAGGCTGATGCTGAGG